CAGCACTGCATAGCCACATCCTCTCTGCACAAAAAAGGTGCAGACTAAAGAGGAAAAGCCTGCTCTCAAAATTCCTCGCCCCAAATAAGAGAAGTTTCCTCACAAGTATCGGACAAAAAGAGCCAAACTCTGTAAAATATTTGAAGAGATTTATTCTGAGCCAAACATGAGTGAGCATGGCCAGAGGCAGAAGCTCAAGAGGGCCTAAGAACATGTGCCCAAGGTGGTCACACTACAGCTTCGTTTTACACCTTTTTAGAGACATCAGACATCAATCAATACATGTAAGCTGCACATTGGTTCAGTTTGGAATAGTGGGGCAACTCAAAGAGGGGGCTTCCAGTCATAGGTGGATTCAAAGACTTTTCAGACTGGCAGTTGGTTGAAAGAGTTAAGTTATTATCTAAAGACTTGGAATCAATATAAAGGAGTGTCTGATCATGGGGACCAAGGTTCTCATTATGCAGATGAAGCCTCCAGGGAGCAGGCTTCAGAGAGAATAGATCGTGTTTCTTATCAGGCTTTAAAAGGTACTAGACTCATAAGTTAATTCTCTTCTGGATCAGGGAAAAGACATGAAAAGGAAAGAGAATTATCTATAGAATGTAGATTTTACCCATAACAGACAGCTTTGCAGGGCCATTAAAAAATATGTCAAAAAAGTATACTTTGGGCTAAAATATTTTGATTTTTTTTCAGAGCCTGCTATCAGTCATGTTGATATTTTATTGCTACAAAGTATCTGTTTTGCCACTCTTAAGGTCCCCATTTTACTATTATTGGCTGTCACAGAGAGACAATGAGATTTGCCCTTAGCTCCTTGCAGTCTCTTTCTGATCCCCTTGATCTTCAAACACGCATCAAGTCTGTCTCATGTTTGAAATCCTTCTGATCTCCGCTTCTGCTTCAAGACAGAGAAAAACTCTGCTTTTAAAGGGCTTTGGTGATTAGGTTAGGCCAACCTGAATAGTATTTATTTTATCAAAGAATGTAACATAATCGCTTGAATGACATCTTATTATATTTTTAGGCTCCATTCATGCTCAAGTGAAGGAGATTATACATGGGTATGAGTCATTAGAGGTCATTCTTATAATTTTGCCTACCATACCAATGGAGATCAAATGCCAGGAAAGTCAGGAATAGAAATTCGGAAAGCATATAATCGAATATACTGAATTAGAATTCAAAACTACTCAAGATGGTTCAGAGTTTTGGCCATGCAGTGGATCAGATTTTCTTACTACTGCTTAATCAAGGACACAGTACAAAGGTAGAATGAATTGGTCTCTATCAAAACAGCAAAGACCAGATCTAAAAAGGAAAGGCAAGAAGGTAGAATAGATCTGGCTTTTACTGGAAGGACACTGGAGATTCAAATTAAGAAACAGAATTGTCATAGTCCCTGAGTTAACAAAAGAGAAGAAAGATGAGACCAGAACCTTTGTCAATGAAAGAGCAGTGACGTGGAAAGGCAGAATGGAGTGAGGGAGGAGAGCACGTTTCTGAAGAGAATAAATTTAGTTGCCAGATGAAAAGAGATAAATTAGCTTTGTCCTTACAAATTTTGAGGTAACTTATGGAAATACTTTTTCTTATCAGTTGATTAATTTGGGGGGAGGTAGCACAATCCTTTGAAATTCCAGTGAATAGAAAACTAGGCTCAACCTCAAGATAAAGCCTCAAAAAAGCAATGTCTATTCAAATCCAGTTAACAGGAGAACACCTACTGTACTGTGACTTTATTATCAGCAAGCTGGTGAAAACTTCCTGAAGAAGAAATATGGGATGATCCAGAAACCGATTAAAGTCTCAAAACAACAAATAGTTTCTTTTCTTGTGAATTAATTCACCCTCCCACAATTAAACAGAGATAACTCAGGGTACCTCAAATACTGATGAGCTTCACAGAAATGAATTGCCACCCAATTCCATTGATGGAGAAAGATAAGAAAATGAGGAAGGAACAGGTACTTTCAGAGAGAATTGTTGAGAAGGTAGCAGTCCCTTCTCCTTTCTCTTTCCACGAGGTAGTTGCTATTCATTGCTCTATGATGGGGACTGGGAACACAAGAATCACCACTCATGGATTAATGAATTCAAGATTCCTACCTTCCACTTTGATCCCATATTTGAACTTAAATTTATTCAGGACACCAACTGAACACTTCTGCCTAAAGTTAAAACTCATATTATATTTCCCTCCCAAGCTGCATTTCCTGAGTTCCTGACTTGATGGATTGAGTTATTTATCTGTGCAATATATGAACACTGAGAGTTATGCCTTATTTGCCTTGGACACCCAATTTGTATGTAAGCTCTTTTCATTTCTAACTCCTAAATATCTTAGTTCTTTATTTATTATCTCAATCACTGCAACCACTACCATGTTTATGCCCTTTTTACTAGCTTACCAAATAAATATAAAAGGTGTCATTAATCTCTCTAGTTCCTTATTAATCTTCATTCCATTTAATTTAGTATTAGTATTATACCCAAGTATAATCTTCCAAAGTACAAAGATCTCTTTCTATCACTCCTTCTGCAGCATCCTTCAGTGGCTCCCCCATGGTCTACAATAGATACAATCGAAGTTTATTAAAATGAAGAAAAACTTCTGACTATCCCTTTAATATTTTGAAAAAAGGAAAATTAGTCCTTTAGCAGAAAAAATAGCAATATATTATAATGTCAAGTTCACACTAGAGTCTAGGATGGTGACAAAGAGCTCTATATTTTTCTTCCTGAGTCACTTTGATATCCTCCCACAGTAAGACCATTAGAGTTGGTGTATTATTCTGTTCTCACACTGCTACAAAGAAATACCCGAGACTGGGTACTTTATAAAGCAAAGAGGGTTAATTGATTCACAGTTCCACAGAGCTGGAAAGGCCTCAGAAAACTTACAATCATGGTGGAAGGCAAAGGAGAGGCAGGCACCTTCTTCACAGGGTGGCAGGATGGTGTGAGTGGCAGCGGGGGAAATGCCAGGTGTCTATAAAACCATTAGATCTCCTGAGACTCACTCATTATGATGAGAACAGTATGGGGTAAACTGCTGCCATGATTCAATTACCTTCACCTGGTCCCACCCTGACACCTGTGGATTATGGAGATTGCAATTCAAGGTAAGATTTAGGTAGGGACACAGAGCCAAATCTTATCAGTTGGGTACTGAGGAGGGCATACTGTATTAATCATGCCTTCTTATTTTCTATGTTTTGGCATCCATATTTTCTGATGTTTTTACCTCTGGGAACTTGCTGATCTTGGAGGGACTGACCCTCTTAGGCTTAGCTAATTCCTAAGGGTAGCAAACTACTTTCCCTAGAGCATGCCTTTCATATTATATCAACCAATCCAAACCACCTCCTTTATTGGGCTTTCATACTCTGAGCTCCTGTTCTCCTACCCTAATTACCACAGGGCCACGTACTAAACAACTTGAGATAATCCCTGCACCTTGGGGCCTGCTCAAATTTTTCAAACTATCCAATGCTAAACCTACTTAGCCTGCTACCCTTCCTCACTCATTCGTTCAGTGAAAACCACAATAAAGGTTCTTGCCAATGCTTCCTGTCACTCCTTCTTTCTTCTGTCCAACTGTTGTGATTCCTATTGCTATCTTTTTTTTCCAACTTGGTCTTGAGCTCTCTCTTTTTAGATTAGCCCTAAACCAATATTGCCAGTCTCTAGGAGACCTCTGTCTCAGTGGAGGGGGAGTTAGATTTAGGTGTGAGTGTCAGGTGAGACACAGTGAGGAAGTGAAAACAAAAATGCATGAAAGAGAAGAAATTTATTACTCACAGAACCCAAAGAGGTTAGAGAGGCCTACGGGAAGTGTGAAGATGGCAGGGAGCTCATCTAGGTGGGGCAGGTAAGGCTGGAGGGGGTGAGTGAGGGCCTGTGGAACTATGCCTTTATTAAGGTCCATGGGCATTATTCCTTAGGCTTTCCTATGGGGGTCATGGGTCAGCTACTTTAAAGAAAACATTCCAGAAAAAGGAAACTTACTTGCAGTAGCATTAGCCATCATTTTTTGTTTGTTTGTTTTGTTTTGTTTTTTTGTCAGAGTCTTGCTCTGTCACCAGGCTAAAGTGGAGTATATGATCTCGGTTCACAGCAACCTCCACCTCACAGGTTCAAGTGATTCCCCTGCCTCAGCCTCCCAAACAACTAAGACTACCAGTGCATGCCACTATGCCTGGCTAATTTTTTGTATATTAGTAGAGACAGGGTTTCACCATGTTGGCCAGGATGGTCTTCATCTCCTGACCTCGTGATCTGCCCACCTCGGCCTCCCAAAATGCTGGGATTACAGGCATAAGCCAGTGTCCGGCCTTGCTATTAGGTTTTATCATGGTCAGCAGCTCTGGAGTATGTTGGGTCAGGGGAATGAGAAATAGACCATACAGCCACCAACGGAGGGGAAGTTTCAACTGGGCCAAAGGTGACAAGGTATGATGGGTTTCAAGTAATTTGTTTCAGGCCTAAAAAAAAAAAAAGAACTGGGGCTGGGGGCAGTGGCATCTGTAATACCAGCACTTTAGGAGGCTGAGGCAGATGGATCACTTTGAAGTCAGGAGTTCAAGACAAGCATGGCCAACATGGCAAAATCCCGTCTGTACTAAAAATACAAAAATAAGCCAGGCATGGTGGTATGCACCTGTAATCCCAGCTGCTGGGGAGGGTGAGACAGGAGAATTGCTTGAAAACAGGAGGAAGAGGTTGCAGTGAGCTGAGATCATGCCACTGCCTGAGTGACAGAGCAAGACTCCACCTTAACAACAACAACAAAAAACTGGGCCTATATGGCCCTGCATAGTGTGTCATGCCCCTTTTTCTTGGGAATTGTAGCTAACAGACTGTATTTTTAGTGGCAGCTGTCTCCTGATCCATTAGCTCTACCATATCTGAATAATAACAACACTCATATTCTAAAACATTTGCTTCTTATGAGTAGGAATGGGTCAGTGCTTCAAAATCTCAGACACATCCAGAGGAGAAGGTGAAGAAAACCAAATGACCAGACCATATCCAGCTTGACTGAAACACACACAATATAATCACCACTTTGTCTCTATGTCTTCACCAGCTCTTCAAGTACACCTGTGTATAGTATGCTGACAAGCTCTCTATCTTCTTTAATCTGTTAAATCATTTTCTACTTTCCTACATTGTGGTGAACCAGGAGAGCCCAGGGTGTGGTAAAAAGTGGGAAGAGGTTAAATCCATCTAGAAAGGAGATAGGTGGGTGAAAAAAAAATTGTTTTACATATACAAAAGTTTCTATGATTACAAACCTAGTATGAAATCCAGACACACCTACCATGCACAATCCCACTCACTGTAAGCAACACTGAACCCTATCTCCAAACATGCTGTTCATAGTATTTCCCTTACATGGCACATCTGCAAATTTATTCTGCACTTTCGAATATAACTTAAAACAACAGCACTACATGAAATGTGCCGTTTTCCCAAGATTGCAGACTCTTTCCTCTGTATTCTCCGTACCTTACACAATTCTCCCTTTCTGCAAATACCAGATTATCGTGTTTATTGATATAGTGATCTTAACATGGGCCTACAAAATTCCTGTGGTCAAAGGACATATATTTCCATTATTCCTTCCCTAGAATCTTCTCCTATGCATGGTGCCCATGTTTAAGGAATGATTAGGCACAATTAATAAAGAGGCGAGGATGCTGACTTTTGTGTTTATGCCTCTGTTCTCAGGGTGTGAAACAGCACCTGATATTTAACAGGTGTTCATTATGTGTCTGTTAAAAAAAAGAAAAAAAATATCAGCAATGTCTACAGTGATTTGATCCTGGGTTTGCCTCTTCTCTCCTTCTTCTTCTAAAGTCTATTCCTTAAGTTTAACCACCCTTGCCCTCGTTTTCTGTCTAAGGGCTACTGGTAGGTAGGATAACTCTGAAAGATGTCTATGTCCTAAACTTCAGAACCTGTAACTATGTTACCATACATAATAGAAGATAATGAACTTTGCAGATAGTTAACTGTGCTAATTAGCTAACCTTGAGGCAGGAAGATTATCCTGACTTGCAGGTGGACTAAATGTAAACACAAAGGTACTTAAAAGTGACTATGGTGAGAGTGATGGGACAATTCTACCTGCTGTTGTTGCTGGCTGAAAATAATCAAAGGGGCCACAAGTCAAGGAATGTGGGAGGCCTCTAGAAGCTAGAAGAAAACAAACAAACAAGCAAACAAATGTATTCTCTCCTAGAGTCTCCAAAAAGCAAAGTGCCAATGAGACCCATCCTGGACTGCTAAGCAAAATAATTGTAAGATAATAAGTTTCTGTTGTTTTAAGCCACTAAGCTTGCAGTAATAGGGTACAACAGTAAGAGAAAACTATTATAAGGCTCTATTTCCAAGCAGCTGAAAAAAGGCAGCTGATGAAGGAAGTCACGCTGGGAAGTAGCCTGAAAGGCAAAAGTACAAAAATAGGAGTTTGAATCAAATGATTCCACTTTCAAGGGTGGATTTTTCAGAGACATGTGAACCAGAGCAACTCCATCTTAAACAGGAACTGGGTAAAATAAGGTTGAAATCTACTGGGCGGCATTCCCAGATGATTAAGGCATTCTAAGTCACAGGATGAGACAGGCAGTCAGCACAAGATACAGGTCATAAAGACCTTGCTGATGAAACAGTTTGCAGTAAAGAAACCAGCCAAGACCTACCAAAACCAAGACAGCCACAGGAGGGACCTCTGGTCGTCCTCACTGCTACACTCCCACCAACGCCATGACAGTTTACAAATGCCATGGCAACATCAGAAAGTTACCCTCTTGGTCTAAAAACGAGAAGCATGAATAATTCATCCCTTGTTTAGCATATGAACAGGATAAAACCATAAAAATCAGCAACAACCACCACTCAGGTCTGCTTTATCTATAGAGAAGCCATTCTTTTATTCCTTTATTTTCCTAATAAACCTGCTTTCACTTTACGCTATGGACTCCCCCTGAATTCTTTCTTGCATGAGATCCAAGAATCCTCTCTTGGGGTTTGGATAAGGAGCCTTTCCTGTAACTGCTTTCTGGTGACGATGAAGGGACTATAGTGGGGAAACCCCAGAATCAAAATAACTTTAGGTAAGTGTTGGGGTCCCATAACATCTTACCGGCAAACCCTGAAGGAAAGCTACTAAGGAGACCTCCCCACAACCCAAGGAAATAGACTGTAGCACTGATTGGACAACTTTGGATAAGCGGTGGAGAACCTACCCAGGTAAAGAATGAGATTGTGATGGAGGCCCAATAGGGAAGTTAGAGTCTCTCCTAAGGCAGAGTGGGTTAAAGTCCCTTCTTAATAAAAGGCAAGACTTGAAGGACTTTGGGTTAGAGGCCCAAATTAAGAGGGTTAGAGACCCTTTCTAAGATTTAGGGGGTTAGTGGCCCCTCTCAGAAAAATCCCTCTTGGTAAAATCCCTCTAAGAATAGGTTTTGCACTATGGGATGTTAACTGCTATTATCTTTGTATTAATCTGCCTTGAACTCCTTGCTGACAGCTGTGGGTGACAGGATTAGGCATGTATAGGATCATGGGACATGGGAAACTATTTCCTCCCTAAAAGGGAAAACTTGAGAGCCCTTCACAACCATCAAGTGGCCACATGAACTGTTCAGTGTCACTGCAATGGGTGGATCTTTCTCTCGGGCCTCTGAGTGCCTTGCCTTCCCAATCCTGCCTCAGGCAATGCTTTCCTTTTCTTCTTCTCTCCCCATCTGTCTCTTTCTCTGTGCAAACTGGTTGAATGAATGGTAAAAATCACTGTTTATCTCCTGTAAAGTTTTGATTAATGGAAAAAAGGATTTGTGAGGCTAGACATAAGTTTTAGTGAATCTGGTGTGCTCTGTGTGTTTTTCTGTATTGTTCTGTCATAAAGAGGGGTACTTTATCATAGAACACTGGCTTAGGAGACCTGTAAACTCACTTTTCAAGACAACTCAGCAAGTTTTTGGAAAAAAAAAAAAAAAAAAAAAAAACTAAATGAGGTTTCCTTCTTGTCTTGCATGTCCCTGGGAGCTTGAAGCTGTAACCAGGTGGCCACGTTTTCTCTTTTCACAATGGAAGTCTGTGTTCAGGGTTCTAGTCCTGTCTCAGGGGATGAGTTTTTGTATCTTCTTCTGTGGGTACTTATGTGTATTATGTGTGTGATGTTTATTTCTAAAAGAGCATTGATTAATGGATTTAACAACGAGAGCCTAAATCTAATATTTTGTCAAAAAAGTAAAAACTGTAATGCCTTTTAGTTCTTGTGACTTAGCAGTTTTCTGAAATAAAGACAGTTTTAAAGATTATCAGTAAAATAAAAATATCTTAAAAAAGGTAAACATTTGGCTTAAATTAGGCAGGTCAAATATTAAACTGCTAAATGCTTGAAGGTCATAAATGGCTTCTTTAACTTTTGAAAATTGTTCCATTTACTTACCTTGAAGCCGTTAGATTCTAGATAAGACCTGGGGACTTGTGGAGTTAGCCACACCCCCTAACTATACTGGAGTCAGCCTTTATCTGCACTTCTGCCTGGTGTGTCCCAGGCTAGGCTCCACACCTAGTACATAATTAAAACCCTAAACTTATCAAGGGTTTTCACCAAAAGTAAAAATTGCTAAGAGTTAGCATTATAAAATATAATTGATAGTACTGAAGCAACAGTTTTATATGCAACTTGTGTAAAGAAAGTGAAATGTATTTTTGGTAAAAAGTATATATATAAATTTAGACTTTATACATATGTGTATATATATGTGTGTGTGTGTACATTATATATATATATATATAGAGAGAGAGAGAGAGAGAAAGAGAGAGAGAGAGAGTCATGGGAATTCAGATTTTTGTCTAGATTAAAGTATTAAAGAATCATTTCAAGTTAGGATAAAGCTGAGTGTTCAAGCAAGCTGTGGAAATCTTGTGAAAAAATAATTGTAAGAGAGATTGTGTGAGTATAGGCTAAAATTAAAAGGGTATTACTCAGTTACTCTGGAAACTGAACAGTGGAATAAAAGCACTAATCTGCTCTTTAACAAAAACTTGTAAAGGCTTATAAAAGGTTTATAAAAATCTTACCTTATGGTCAATATAATTAAGATTGAATCCATTTGTCTATAAAGTTTTACTAAGAATTGGGTTTGACATCAATAATGCATGAATGCAACAGTGACATTGGCTTATTTAATATTACAATCATACAAAAAGCATTATCAAATACAAAATGGTGTTTGGTTTTTTGGGGGCTGTATTTGCATAAATGTGTTATTGGTACATGTCCCACAATTATAAAAACCTTCCATAATTCTGATATGTCTTAGTATATGTTATTAATAATTGTTAATTAAAATAATTGTGTGCCACAAAGGCAACCAAATTTTTCTAGTCAATTTTGACTTTAATTGTGGCTGTCCTAAGACTTTGGTCATCCACAAACAATTGTCTCATTTTGGTCCCCTTTAAAAGGTGGTTTAGAATTAACTGTAGGACTCTATAGTGCTCTGAAATGCAGGTTTTCTGATAACTTCAGACATTGTGACATCAGAACAGAGGAAAACCTTTCAGCACTCAGGGAGAGCTGAAATGTTTATGAATATCAAGCAGAACAGAAGTTAATTTAACTTCATGGACTAAATTAGTAAAAGTCTAAAGTAGTATTTTTAACTTTTTGATAAAATATTGCTGATCTTTTTTGTTTCAAAGTCAAGGAAACTTTTCTTTTGAGCTACTATAGCTTTTAGCAATCAAGTAAAGTATGCTTGTGTGAACAAAATTGAGAGCATATTTTTTCTCTTTACCTGATTTCTCCAGATTTGGGGAATTCGCTGTGAGTATTATTAATTTATGGAAATATAGTTATTTGCATGAGTGCAATAAGAACCTGCTTTCTTTTGTAATAGGACACAATTGGAGCAACTGGTTGTTTTACCAAGACTTTGATAGAATGGTGTACTCTCCTTTAAGGAATCAAACTTAACTTGC